CGTGAAATAAGGGCCGGTCCTATTTCGGATGTGCCGCATATCTGAAATAACGGCTGTGGCGGCCTCCCTCAGCTGATTCCAGCGCACGCTGTGTGGGAGCTGGCCGCGGGGCGTGGGTCAGCGGCCCGGACAAGCAGATCCGCTGCTGCCGGGGCGCAGTGATCCCCAGGCAGTCCTCGGCCATCTGCTGGAACACTGGGTGAACGCGGTGCGGTGGCCGCAGGCTGCGTTCACCCGGGGCTTTTAAACTTCAGTCTGCACGTGGGCCCCGGTTGTGGCTGGACGGTCCGGGCGCCAGCCCATGCGGGTCAGGGCCTTGACCGCAGGCGGGGAGTTTCAGGTATGGGTGGCACGCGAATCACTCCGCTGAGGCGGTTGCCTCCTGGCTTTCCTCCTCAGTTACCTCCTCGGTTGCCGGGGTCTTCCGCCATGGAATGGACGTGTAGTCCTTCCTCCGGAGCCGCTCCGCCGCCCTCAGGATCTCGCCGGCCAGGATGTGGGACTGGTTTCCCTGGCTCACGGCGAAACCGAAGCGCTTGGAGGCCTGGAACACCTCCCCCATGCGGCTTTGCGCCGGCGGGATGGGTGTATCCGGCAGGTGCGTTTCCCCCAGGAGGCCCGCCATTTCAGCCAGAGAGGGTGCCATGCTGCAGCCGCATTGAGCAGGAGTCCGGCCCGCGCCCGCGCCACCTCGTCCCTGAGGGGGGTGTCGCCGCGCTTCCGGGCCGCCCTTGCCGCGTTCCGGTAGCGTATGGCGGCGTACGCAAGTGCGGCACCGGCCACCCTGGCTGCCTTGCCTACACTCACCGGGCCCTCACCCATCGTTTTCACCTCCCGGTTGGTAATCCGGCGGTTCGTATCCGGCGGTTCGTGATGCGGGCCTGAGGCGTTCCCCTGCTGATCATCATTGCCCACCGGGGGGTCATCGTCGCCATAGGCCTCCAGGGCCTGCAGCTGCAGTTGCAGGCCGCGGCCGGCCGCCCTTTCCAGGGCGCTCTGCAATGCGTGGAACATTCTCTGTTCCAGCCACTCCACGGCGAAGGGAGTCGGGGCGACCACGATGAACCGGTCTCCTTGGAAGGCCGCGCCCGCCGTTCGTTTCAGCCATGTCTCGAAGGTCGGGCGCGGCAGCTTCAGCTGGAGGTCTGCCAGCGCCGCGGCCCACAGCGACCTGGCGTCGGGGTCCGCCTGCATGCTGCTGTCCCAGACCGGGACTCTCTCTGTTTCATCCCCTCCTTGCTCTTTTTCCGGGCGATGCCTGTTCGCCCGGTCCCCCGGCTTGGCGTCCTTGCGTTCCTCGGCCGCCCTGGCCGCCCTGGCGTTCTTCAGCTGCCGTGTCCATCGCGCGTGCTTGCTTGTACCAGGGATGGCGCTGTTGATGTCATCCCATCTGCCCTTGATCCAAGGCCAGAACTCCCGCGTCAGCAGTCGACCTCGTCCTCTGCTTCCTGTCTCCTCTAGAGGGTACGGGTCCGGAGCGATAGCGTTTCCCGGCTGTCCAGCTCCCTGGGCATGCGCGTTCCGGCAGTTCGGCAGTGCACGCCGGGGGATTGTCGGTCGCTGGGATAGGGCGGTTCGTTCCTGAGGATACTCGGGGGAGCCTGGGAGGCGGGATGGCTGAGGTGCCAGGTTCGGGCGGATGCCGCCTCCCGGCTGACGGGGGGTTACGCCAGTGGAGAGGGCAGCGTCCTCCCCTTGGCGGGGGGCGAGACCGTTGACGGCGGCCTCCGAGTTCGCCGATGCGCCGGAGCAGGTCCTGCTCCGCTGGCGGTGGCTTCTGCTCGAGTGCCTGTAGCTCCGGCGATGCTCGGCCTCTACTCTCGTGCTGCGGCGGTAGGCTGCGAAGATTGGCCCGGCTCCCGGGGTTCCTGGGGTCGGCTCCCAGTCGAATTCCTCGCCGGTATCCGGTACGTTGGGGAGGTCCTGCCCCCGTGGGATCCGGGGCCGGGTGACCTCACCTGCCGAAGAACTCGAGGTGCTGGATGGCCACCTTGACCGTGGAGACGCTGCCGGCGTCGATGGCGTCGGCTATCTCCGGTGGGTGCGTTCGGACAGACCCCGTGGTCATCGCTGAGTGGGGCAGCGCGATGTAGACGGCCAAGCGGGATGTTACAGGCGGGACCGCTGTGTCAGTGCGTACCGGACCACGTGGTCAGGGCCGCGGGAATGCGCGATCCCGCCCTGATCATGTTGCGCCGCGTATGGGCCTTGGGGGGTAAACTCCAATAGTCATGGAATGTCGAACTCCTATCGCGAAGTTATCTGGTTGCATAACGCTCGCGGACTTTCTAGAAGTCGTCAGGCGGCGTTTGGGCCGTCACTCAGCTATGTCGGCCGTGCCCTCGTCGACCGGGTTGTGCCGGATGCGGCTCGCCCTGGCGTTGTCGAGGCTCAGTTGTTGCATCCGGTCCCGCAACTGGCTCTGAAACGGCGGCGGGGGTCAACCGGCTGCTTTTCGAGGCAACAAAAAGACACTCTGCCATGTGTGCGCCGAGGATGTCCTGACTTGGTATACGAACGCATCCAGTGAGTACGGAGCGTCTTATGATTACGCGCACTGGCGGCTGTTAGTGTTCAGGTCAGCACCGTCGGCCCTTGTTAAGCCGGACAGCACTCCAACTGTCCGGCTTTACTTATACCATCACTATTCTGTTTGTCTTTTCTAAGTTGGCACGCACCACGCTGCATCGGTCAGTTGCCATGGTGCATGTGAATTCGGAGTAGCAGGCACAGGCACGCCACCGATTAAACGAACGCCGTGGCCGGAAGCAGTTGCCAGGATCGCTAGGCCTTTGCGCTGAAGAGATGCTTTACTGCCCGATGAGGGCCGGCTGGCGCGACCTTGGCATCGTAATATTCTTCCGCAAGGCAAAAAACCCTTAGCCGAGTCCTCGCCTCACTGCTTGCGTGCCGCCTGACCGAAACTGGTGTTCTTCTGACGCTGAGACAACCATTTGTTTTTTGTCGACAGGACATGTGCATCGTGGGAAGGTGCTGGTCGACTAGTAGATGGTTAGATGTAGAACCATTGAGATGTTTATAACTAACTGTTTAGATAATATATGCTGATCGACTACTAGTTGTACAACCATTAAGATGCTTATGTAACTAACCTTCTAGGTCTGTGGATATTTGTCAGCAGGGATCAGAGCGCTGTCTGATCTCGTCAAGGGAGGTCCTTAATGACCATTGGCTCAGCTTGGCGAGGGCGGCAACCGCTGAGTCTCTGTCTTAAACATGACAGCAGGCGGGTTGGCTGATTCGCCACCCCGGTTGTGTGAGGTGGACCCGGCGATCTGGCCCGAGTAGCGGTCGTGCCCGGCGAACCGGCGGACTACGGAACCGTTCTTCTGCTCGATCCATGCCTGGTCGTTCTTGCGGTAAGCCCCTGGAGCGGGTGACCTCGATCCCTCGATCGGCACAGTACTCCATCAGGGTCTGATTGATAAAGACGCTGTCGTTGTCCGAATCGATCCCGAGGACCGGGAACGGCAGCTGCCTGGCGATGGCCTCCAGGCCCTCGGCCACCGGGGACTGCTCCCTGGCCAGCAGGGGAACTGCCTCCGTCCATCCCGTGCAGATGTCGGTGGCCACCAGGTTGTGGATAAAGGAACCCGATAGAGTCCCGCCGCAGTGGGCTACCAGGTCGATCTCCAGGAAACCCGGTGGCGGCCAATTCCAGTCATTGTAGGTTCGCACCGGGATCGGGCTCCCCATGTACGTTCTTCGCCTTCGCTTGCGCCGGTTGCCCGCGGTGGCCCTGATGTGTCTGAGCAGCTGGTCCAGTGTGGCTGCGCTGGCTGAGAGGAGACGTTCCCTCACGGCAGGCTCAAGACTCAGATGTCCATGCCGCTCCATGGAGTCCACGAGGGAGTCCATGAGGTTGGGCAGCGCCGCCTTCAGCCTCTTCCCGCAGATACGGTCGGAGGCCTTCCAGACCACGATCACCGCTTCGCGTACGGCCTCGTCGTAGATACGTCTTCCCTCGGCCTCCTTGCCGTTACTGTTGGCAGTGCCACTCAGCAGCCTGATGCCGTGCTTGCGGTGGTGGCCGGTTATCGCAATGAATTCGTCGAGAATCCTCCCTTTGTCCTTCTTGGATGCCTGTTGGTACCGGTCCCTGGTCGTCGCCACAAGTTCCTGCTTCGCCATCTTGCTGATGTCTCCGCCCACGTGGCTGCCTCTCGAGTTTTCGGCAACATTTTAGTTGAGGCAACCACTTTCGTAGAGTGATGATTTGGGTGAAGGCAATGCGCCGGCAAGACTAATTGTCGTTGATCAGGTATTGAATCGGGATTTATTGACTGGCAGAAGCGTTTCTGTTTGATCACTTGATAAGGTACTATAGTTAGACATTAAACGATTTAACTGTGTAAGTAGCTATATATTGAGAAGGTTCGCCATTAAGCTGTTTAGTTGTCTAAATAGATAGACTGTTCGACAGGGAAATGGTAAACCTTCTAGATATACAGACATCTAAACAGGTGGCAGGACATGATTGTTGCCGTGCTTGGCGAGAAAGGTGGAACCGGCAAAACTACAATTGCGGTGCACTTGGCCGGTTGGCGTCTCCACGCCGGTAGGGAAGTGATTCTGATCGACGCTGACCGGCAGGGCAGCGCTAGTCTTTGGGTTGAGTCAAGACATGGACACCAGGTTGCTGCGCCGACCGCCGTGCAGAAGTTCGATGGCGGCCTTTCGTCGCGCGATCAGGGACTTGGCTCGACGCTATGACGATATCGTAGTCGATATAGGCTCAGGTGAGGGCGCAGCGATTGAGAGCATACTACGTGTTGCAGACGTCGCCATTGTGCCGGTGCAGCCGAATGGCATGGACATCTGGACAATGGGGCTACTGGACGAACTTACGGTTGCTGCCCTTGAGCTGAATGATGGCCTAAAGGTAAGGGTGATATTGAACCGGGCTTCTCACCATCATGCTAGTCGCGATGTCCAATCTGCCATGACGGCGCTGCGGGCCTGCCAGGCCATCGAGGTGTCGGATCTAGTGATCCGGGAGCGCTCATCGATAAGGCGAGCTGTGCCGGCGGGGATGCTGGTGAACGAATACCGGCCACGGGATCCGAAAGGCTCAGAAGAGATTGCCGCCGTGTATCGGCTGGTCTTTGCAGAAGAGCCCCCGGTCCACGTTTAAGTGCGATGGAGATTGAGCAGATGATGGATATGAACATAAGGCGAAGTGAGAGTGGGACTGGGGCACAGCCGCGTCGCGCAAGCGGACCGGGTGCTCGTCCGGGACCCAAACCCACTGTGGACGCCGATAGCGATACCTATCGTGTGGTCAGTGTCAGGATGTCCGATGACTTCAGCGTTCGGCTGAAGCTCGCCGCAACTCTAGCAGGCATCACTCAGCGTGAGCTCATCATCACGGCGGTGCAGCCCGAAGTGGACCGGATACTCAAGGAGCACAACCTGTCCGTATGATTGTTTCCACAGCTGTTTGAAGTCAACTATTGTTGCTGGCGCATTGACTCGCTAGAAGAACTACGGACGGAGTCGTACACCGACTGCGCACTATGGTCTACCTTCCCCTCCAAGTCCGGGCTGTTCGCCCGGCCAACCCTGTCATAAAGGGACGAATATGAGCATAGCCAGAATTTTGCTAGTGTCGTCTCACGCCAGCCACCGCCATGAAAGATGCAAGAAACGGGGCGCAGTGGAAGATGTCCGAGATAATCCATGGGTATGCTTGCCCAGACTCCTATGGGAGCAGGCCGGCTGCGGGCGGCTTGGCCAGAGGGCTCGTTAGCAGCGATGGCCCTGAAGCATAAGGCAACGGGAATAAGGATGACGCTCAAATGGAGGCTCCAAGCTCGTTGCTCAGCGTGCATCGCGAAGCGATGAAATAGACAAAAAGAGACGCCCCCTATGGAGGGGACGCCAGGCCAGCGATACTCTCGCTGGGGGAGTGGCTCTACTCTACCGGGGGAGTGGACACGGTGTAAACTCCCCCGTAGTTAGTTCTTGATAGAACCCCTTACGCCTGTCGTAAGATCGGCCCACCACGGTGGGATTTTTATCAAGAAGCAAAAAATGACCAGAGCGACTCCCCGATCTCATTCCACTACGTCCTGAAGCAACCGGGCAATGCCTGCGAGCTGGGTGACCACGTGATCCAACACTTTTTCGTAGTCGAGCCCGGTCATCAGGTGAATGGGAGTGATCCCTTCCTCCTCAAGGTATTCAGGCGGGTCTTTCCAGCGGATGGGGTCCAGGCTCTTCAGTATCCTCTCCTCGTGCTCCGACCAGGCCTGGTCAGTAAAGCCGAACCACAGCGGCGTGGTTTCGTAGTGTTTCCAATGTCCGTAGTTGACACCGAACCAGGCGGGTAGGCCTGCCACCATCATGTACTGGTAGGGTCCTGTGTTCCACATCTTCTGCATCCGGGCCCGAGCGGCCCAGTCCGTTGCGAAGATCCTGCTGGATGCATCGTCAACCAGACGGTCCAGGTTCAGTATCAGGCGCGGGATCTCAGGGGAGAGCTGCTCGGCCCGCAGCGGCAGAAATTCCTCCGAGTCCTGCTGGTCAGCGAGCCCCTGCAGCTGCCGGACATCGCTCAGCCCCTGCTCGTCATCTGCTGCGTCTCCCAAGCGACGCAATAGGTTGGTCCACGAGGTCAGTATGAGGTGCCGGTTGTCCCCTGCGGAAACCCATCGTGCCTCGGTGGCGGAGTCTTCGTCGCCTATCGGGAACTCACCGGCGCGTCCCTTCAACTCCGGCCAGAGGGTTTCCAACCTCATTGACGGAGCGACAACGAGCAGGGCTGACGCCCTATCATCAGGCAGGCGCCTGAGATAGGTGGCAGGTTGGTTGGCGGTCAGTCCTGCCCAGAATTTCACTTCAATCAGGACTCTTTCCCTGCCGTCCCCGTCCATGCAGGAAAGGTCCGGCCGCTCACCGCCCTCTCCGGTGATCTCGGTCCAGACAGTGTTGATCCGGCCGACATCCACCCCGGCGGATTGAAGGAATTTCTGCAGCGTCCTCCTGCCAGCTTCGGAGCCGCGCAAAATATGGCCCAGTGCCTCGGTGGCAACCGTTTCCGTCTGGGGGCTGAGCTTGGACGCCAGATAGGCCAGCAGAGTTGGCCGTGTCGTCATGAGAATCCTCCACCAGTGTCTTGAGAGCCTGGTTAGGCTCACGATTCTAACATTGTGCGGCCCGGGGAACGGCTATCGCGGGAGCCACCGGATACCCTCGGAGCGTGGGGATGCTGACAGCACTTGGAGTGATGTCCCACCAGGCCGTGATAGGCTTGATAGGGTAAATACTTCCGCAGGGGTTTGGAAATGGGTGGGCAGAGATCTGGCATCTCAGAGTTGATATCCCGGGCGCCATGGCGAGAAGCGGTGACCTATCGCGATACCTGGCCTCACGAATACGTTCTCACAGAGAAAGACGCTCAGAGAGAGCTTCTGGCGGGCGTTTGTGAGAGGTTTCTGGCTGGGGAAGGAGTGTCCTCCCGTTTCTTCAGCATGGAGAACACCTACCTGTTCATCGGCGACCACAAATACTGGCTCATGACCGATTACCACGAGATCGACCCCCGCAACGACGAGGGAGACTATGTGTTGAACCGGGCGAGGTTGTACCGGGACCGGCGCGACTTCATCATTCAGCCAGGCGACAGCGGGAGACCGGATGACTACCCGATGACTCCGCCCATGGATACCTGAATGCTGCGTATTTCCCTTCCGACCTAGCACAACCGTGCCGGGAAAGTAGAGAGAGAACGTTTACCCGCGGCTTTCGATCACAGATTGCGAGTTCTCCACCGCTGTCACTTTCTCGCCAACCTTAAGGGCCTTTGCTCCTGTGCATGGGAAGTAACTGACAAACATACTATTGTATGCTGTATAATACCTGACATTGTCATGAAAATGCTCTGTTGAGTATGGTAATGAGGCCCCAGCCTCTGGTCAGGAGGTCCCATGCAGGAGAATGTTGTCGACGCCGTCGACCCTAGGGTTCTGGGACAGCGTCTCCAGGAAGCCAGGAGAGCCCGGGGGCTCACTCAGCAGGAGTCGCGGAGTCCCTGGAATTGGCGCGCACCACGGTGACGGCCCTGGAGAAAGGGGAGCGCCGGATCCGCCCGGATGAACTGATCAGTCTCGCGGGGCTGTACGGACGGCCGGTCAGCAGTTTCGTCGGAGGCAGGGCGCCCTCGGCAGAGTTCGCAGTGCAGTTTCGCACCTCCGTCAACAGGGCGAGCTCGCCCGAAGCCCAACAGGCACTGAGGCTCGGGGTCCAGGAGTTCCAGGACCTGTGCGAAGACTACCGGTGGCTGGAGGCCATCACAGGTGCGCGCCCCCGGCAGTCCTACCCTCCCCAGTACGAGACGGCCGGGATTCCACCGGAGGATGCGGCAGAAGATGTGGCCGCCTCGGAGCGGAACCGCCTGGGCCTGGGGGACGGGCCGGTCATCAACCTGCGGGAGGTGCTGGAGAATGATGCGGGGCTCCGGATCTTCTACACCGTGCTCCCGTCCAGCCTCGCGGGCATCTTCGCCTACACGGAGGACCTCGGCGGCTGCATCGCAGTCAACTCCCGTCATCCCGAGGAGAGGCGGCGGTGGTCGATGGCCCACGAGTACGGCCACTTTCTTACCAGCCGGTTCCGGCCTGAGCTGACCGCCTTGGGGCGAACCGGCCGCAGCTCTGCTTCGGAGAGATTCGCCGACGCCTTCGCCGCGGCGCTGCTCATGCCCTCCTCCGGCCTCAGACGGAGGTTCTACCAGATTTCCCGTGCTGGAGACGGTGCGGTGACCGCCGCCGAGATTTGCAGGCTCGCCCACTACTACTTCGTCTCCGTAGAGGCGATGATGCTGCGCCTGGAGGAGCTGAGGCTCATCCCGGGGGGGGCCTGGGAGCGGCTCCGCGACCGGGGGTTCAGGGTGCGGGAGGCGCAGGAACAGTTGGGGCTGGCTCCTCACCCGCATGACGATGCGCCCCTGCCGCTGCGCTACCAGTTCCTTGCGGTGCAGGCCCACGTGGAGGGGGAGCTCACCGAAGGTGAATTGTGCCGGGTCCTCCGCCAGGGCCGCCTCTCGGCAAGGGAGACCGTGCAGAACCTGACCCACTCTCTTCATCTTCTGCACGAAGGGGACCTGATGTCCATTCCCATCGACCCGAGCAGCCGGGTGACGGGGACTTGACGCCAGAGGCACCTGATAGCGAGCGGCCTGACGCTGGCGTCCTGCTCATGGACGCCAGCTGCCTGCTCAACCTGTATGCCACCGGACGTATGATCGAGATCGTTGCGGCCCTACCCTGGCAGGTGGCCGTCGTGGACTACGTGCTGGAGCACGAGGCGCTGTACGTTCGGGCCATCGGAGCAAACGACGAGCAGGATGAAACGGTCCCAGTGGATGTTTCCCCTCTCATCGACGACGGACTGCTGCTGGTCGTGCGGTTGGAGAACCCTGACGAAGAGGCCTCCTTCGTGGGTCTGGCAGCGGTCATAGACGATGGCGAGGCGATGACGGGGGCCATAGCGCTCAACCAGGGATTCTCAGTTGCCATCGACGACCGCAAGGCGAGACGGGTCCTGGGTGAGAGGGCACCCGGGATGAGGTTGGTCTCTACCCTGGAGCTTGTGCAACATTGGGCCACGGTGGTGACGAGCCAAGAGGTGATTCTGGTGCTGCGGGCCATGCAGCACGGGGCTCGTTACGTCCCAGGGCAGCGGGATCCCCTGTACGATTGGTGGCGAGCCATAATGGAGGGATCGAAGACCGATGATCCCTGACAGGGTGTGGGTCTGCAGGCGCCGCGGCGAGCTATTCGTCGGTCTGGGTACCGGGTGATTCCTTTCTTTTAGCGGCTGTCTTACACTGGCCGACACGGATTAGCTGCTGCCAAGGATGATCCGTGGGGAGAATATTCCCACAGTGATGTCGGCATCTGGGAGTACCAAGAGGAGATTCGGCGGACTGCCGGCGACAACCCAAGTAGGAACGGTCCCTGCCCCTGCGGCAACGGGTCTAAATACAAGCGATGCCATCCTGACGAGATGGAGGGAGTCCGGCGTCGTATGTCGGGACGGTGACCGCCTCATGAGGAAACGAGACTATGACCTCGCCTGCAGCCAACCAGATTATCTCCCGCGTTGAAGCCACCTTTGGCAATGGCGTCCCGT